AATAAACGAATAACTTAACTAAATTTTCAAAATTGACATGAATATCAGAGGTGTATCTGGCAGGCTAGAATCTTCTCTTTGGAAAAACTCATTTCAGTAAACTGTCACCTTCAGTAGAATTGCTATCTGAATAACTTGGGAGAGGTCAATTGAAAAAGAGTATGAAGAGTTAGTTTGTCATCATGTAATGTATGTTAATCACAGTCATCAATAATTTTCCTTGGAAACTTGATAAACAATAGAGAAGCTGTCCTTATGCTCATTATGATGTAATTCATGGAACATGCATAAGCAATATCAAAATTTCATTAGTCCCTAGGTTTTTAATTTATCAATTAAGATTTCAAAAAATTACCTAAAACACTAATAGACTCCTCCTGTAAAATAAAAAAAAAATCCCTACTTAGTCTAATTCTGGTTAACTGGTAAATGAAGAATTAATTATTTTGGTTGATTTGCTTTAAACTAGGATTATGCTATGTTCAAATTATGTAAGTCAAATGAAGTGACCAAGACTTGGTCCCTTTGGACCTGTGCTTTGGGGATCAATTAAAGAAAAAGGAGGAATATCTAAGGCTTGATGACATAAGATTGAGTATATAAAATACACCAACTTCTTTTGATTTGCATCAATGAGGGAATGTAGTGTGAAAAATCTTACACAGTTTTTTCATTGAACCATATGACAGTGAGAGATGCTTTAATTAAGAAATCTACGTGCAGCAAATCCCAGGGAGGGTAAAGTTGCTTTCTGGTTTAACCACTAGGAGAGTTCTGAGAGGCAGGGGCAGGGAGGAGCAGGTACCCCAGCTCGTACTTGAGAAGTTCCTCCTAGTGACCCATAGGTAAAGTGGGCTTCTCCAGGTGGTAGAGATGAATTTTGGTACAGCATGAGCTGGCACATGCTTCTTGCACAGCTTGACTGACTATAGGGATGAGTTCTGTGCTGTACAATTGTAAAGAACTTCAACAGACTGTGAGCAAGGCACAGCGACCTTACAGAGCTCCTCCCTCTCTCAAAGCACTCACTGGACAATTTCAGACCAGGTGAGTCCAGATGCCATTACTGACCTGAGTGACTTTCGGGCCACTTTAACTAACAGTGTGTTTTGGAAATGCAGTTTTCCTCCTGTAAGGGAGCCCTTTCTGCTGCACAGAGAATAAAGAATCTCACAGTAAATTGAAAAACTAAACGTAAATTTAGAATGTACCAGGAATTACAGGAAACTTTTAGAAGGCTGAAGTGTGTGCTCTGCAGGTTTTTCTCTTTGGTTAAGATGGTGGGTTTTTATGAGACCTGATGATTTCTAATCTGTCGATGTGAAATGGACAAAGGTGACTGACCTCCCTGAAGATTTGCTCTGCGCTGCCTTTTGGCAATGCTGGAATTGAAATCGATGAAGCTTGAGCAATTTCAAACTGATCATAGGTCATTGTCATAGTACATTTTAAAGGTGTCTATGATTAATAGAATCTTATGCAAACTACTTATGATTAGATTCTGTCATGTGATGGTTATTTTTAAAATCTGTAAGTTTCAACAATGTATTCTAAGAAGATCAAAGGATACATTAATCTTAAATGGGTTTTAGTTACAGAAGCAATATTCTCAAATTATAATATAAGCAAGACAGTTATGCTTTGTGTACTCCTGGTCCATTAAAAAAAAAGGCCCCACACATAAAGAAGAAATGTGCTGGGCATCAATGGAACGAGACCCTCAGCTGTCACTCCAGCATCCCAGACACTGAAAGCCTCAAGCCCACATGCAGAGGATCTTGCAGTTAGTGATTTATTACCTACATTGCCTGACAAAGTGACCATTCCCAAATAGGAAATGAAAGAGCTATAATGACTGCTATCAATCCAGTTTTACAAAAACTTAGATTCTAACTTGTGCTGTATAAACTGTCAGTGCAAACATTCATCTTTAAGATGAGGGTCCCATGTTGTAAGTTAACTTAAAAGTCTCTGTTTTCATGTTTATGTTGGAAATGCACTTCTTGAAAAAACAGCTGCAATATTTTACCATGTGAATTTCAGTTGTTATCAAAGAATAAAGCTTAGAAATTATCCCAAATGTCTCTTAAATCCTACATTTTTAAGCAATTACACGAAAGTTTGATTTCTGGAACCTAGATGGTCATTCTTGTTAAGATGGACTATCACAATAAGTTTTTCTGAGCCACACATTTGTTTGTTTCAGCCATAGATTTGCTGTGAACTCAGCATGCAGTGATCCCTGTGCAAGGACGAACAGAGAGAATGATTCACAAGATGCCTCCCTGTGCCTCATGGGAAGCCGGCTGTGCTGAGGCGCTCAGATCTTGGACTTTAGGGGTTCCAGGATACACAGCTTCTTTTTTTTTTTTTAAAGCCAGTGAAAGCTCCAGCAGCTCTTACTTTCTGACGAGGGCTCTACTCCATGCACAGCTCCTCCCAGCCCTGCCAAACACACACAGCATCCCATGTGAGGTCTAGAGTCATGGCTAGGACCATGGCACGGTGATAGCAAAGTTTAAATCTTCACTTCCCTCCACACAGAGCACCTCTGCCCTTTGTAAATTCACGCTCCTTATTTCCACTGTCCTAGTGCACAAAAAAGGCTGCTCTCTACCTGTTCTCCCCCAACAGAATGCGCAGTGACCAGACACAAGCTCAGAAGCATCGCTGCACAAGGGCTGCTGGGAATCTTCACCCAATATCTCTTGGCCCCTTTACACTCAGTTTCTGTCTGGTACTAACGACTACATGACATCATGCTGTGCGTTTTCGAATTTGGTTTTTGCTGTATCTTCCTTGTATCTTCTGAATTACCTACTAAGTTTTAACAATCCACCATATACACGTGTGCATTTTAGTCATGCAGTGCATTAATATCTAGTAGCGCTGCAAAGAAACAGTGAATATAGTTAGAAGGAATGCATATGTCATCATGTGGGAATGTGTTTTACCTTTCCCCTCAGCATTCCAGGAGATTTAACCCTAAAGTGCTGTAAGAAGCAGAGGAGGTCTGTGATCCCCACTAGCGTCCACATCCATGGCACTGTCTGCCCGTCAGCTCTCTGACCATGTGCTATTTAGTGGTGGCGCTTTTTCTACTAAACAGCAATAAGAATGCATTCCTATTTCTTACGGCCACTCTCTTTCATGTGTGTTCATGATTAACAGAGACCCATGAAGTAACAACTGGCCTCAGTCACTCCAGGTGTGCCATTGGGACGTGTCCTTGCTGTTCTTTCCTGTTGAATAACCATGAAAGCCCAGCTCCTCCCTAAAGTGATGTCTTGGGCAAGATGTGGTGTCAGTATTTCCTCTGGTGAGCAGAGTCATGTACATCCTGCCTGAAATCTCAGATTGAGGTGAGATCAGAGAAGACACCAAATACAGGTGGATAGAGTTTATGCACACTGGGAGAGAGAGGAAGAATCCACAGCCTTGCAGTGGTGCAAAGAAGAAAAGAGAAACCCCCAGGAATTAAGTTACAGACAAAAACTCCCAAGGAAAACCAGGTCATAAACACCGAAAAATTATTCAGGAAGACAAAGGTATTTATTTCTTCTTTGTATTACTTCACTCCAAACTATTAATGATATTTTTCTACTTAATTAAATATAAATTGAAGAATTGTCAGTGAGCACTGTGACTGCTTGCCTTCCCCTTTCAAGCTGAAGGGCTTTGCTATGCTTTATCAGGTTCATCCTTACTCCATAAGAGTATGACCCGGTGACCAGCAGGGCAGACGCAGTACTCTCTCCCATCTCCACATGCAGAGACCTGGGGAAAATCAAGTACAATTTTTGGAGATCAGGACATGGAACTGTATGCATTCATTCAACAATTACTAGAAATACTAGAAATTTGAAGCCAACATGCAGGCTTAAATCTGGCTGCTGTCCTGATTATTACTCAGAAAATTATTCTAGCCATAACGATTATTATTCTTAATACTTGTAATAAGAATATTACAAAGGTAAAATATCCAGAATTTATATGGTGGGAGGATGTTAATAAATGAAATCATGGAAAGAACAGTAAACACATGTTGTGGAAGGCTAAAATTCCTATAGATAGTGGAGAGATAAGAAAAATGTCTTTTTTTAATTTTTATCTCCATATCCATGTTCTAATTACACCATCACGATAGTTATGATTTTGGAAATAGTTATGTTTTGAACCTGTGAAAAAAAGAAATAAAAAATACGAAATATATCATCCTCATCAGCTGCAAATTTTTTACATAGAAAAAGGAAAAGCGTGCATGAAAATACATGCAAATAAATTTGAGATTTTAGGGTTTAAAAATGGAAACCTCCCCAAGAATGCCTATTGAAATATGCTAAAAGTAGGATGAATCCTATGGGATGTAGAAAACTGCAAAGCTCAAGAATGGATAACTTGGTGGTCGAGATATTTTAGGAAAAGCAAAGAATATCTTTAAAAAACAGGATAGGCAAAAAATTGAGAAAAGTATCAAGACAAATCAAGTTATGCTAGTGTAAGTGGGGCGGAAGCATAAAGAATTTTAAAAAGTAAAGGAGAGCAGGAGAACAGAAACTTTGGAGGTCTGGGCACAGGAATCCACGTCACACACTTGAGCTGCTGTTGAAAATATCCATGCTAGATTGAAGCAATCAGGGATCCCTGTCTTGCTCAGTGTCTGTGTCTTAGCAGTGATCCTGGGTACTGGGTTAGCCAGCAGCTACCCAGGAAGGATGGGATGCTTCAGTACTCTTACTGATGTTTCCTATGCATAGTGCTAGACTTCATAAATTTTCTTACTGACATGATTACCAGAAACAGTCAGAGAGCAAACATTCAGTTCTGAGATTGAGGTTAAATTCACAAATGGTACACTGTTGGAAGAAAAGCAATTCATTCTACTCAAGCATTAATAAAATCTACTTTTGTTTATTGTCTTCTCCTACTACATGTCATACGTATGCTTAGTTATGTTTTTTATTTTATCTTTCTAGGAATTTATAACGAAGTATTTTTTCATGGATAAATGGAACCAAACTTCAGATGATTTTATTTTGTTGGGGCTGTTTCCCCCTAATCAAGCTGGCCAACTTGTCTTGGTGGTGATCATCTTCATATTCTGCCTGGCTTCCATGGGTAACTTGGCGATGATTCATCTCATCTGTGTGGACATCCAGCTGCACACGCCCATGTACCTTCTCCTCAGCCAGCTCTCCCTCATGGACCTGATATACATCTCCAGCACTGTCCCAAACATGGCCTTCAATTTCTTTTCTGGCCAGAAACGCATCTCCTTGTTGGGGTGTGGGGTACAGAGTTTCTTCTTCCTGACCATGGCTTGCTCTGAAGGGTTACTCCTGGCTTCCATGGCTTATGACAGATTCATGGCCATCTGCCACCCACTGCATTACCCTGTCCGCATGAACAGATGGATGTGTGCAAAGATGATCATAGGATCTTGGACACTGGGTTCCATCAACTCCCTGGCGCACACAGTCTATGCCCTTCATCTCCCCTATTGCAGGTCCAGGGCCATCAATCATTTCTTCTGTGATGTTCCCGCCATGTTGCCACTGGCCTGCGTGGACACTTGGGTCTATGAGTACATGGTTTTTGTAAGCACTATCCTGTTCCTCCTCCTCCCTTTCCTCGGCATCACTGCTTCATATGGACGGGTCCTCTTTGCAGTCTTCCACATGCGCTCCAAAGAGGGAAGGAAAAAGGCCTTTACCACCTGCTCCACACACCTGACGGTGGTGACTTTGTACTATGCTCCCTTTGTCTACACTTACCTTCGGCCCAGGGGTCTCCGCTCCCCAGCAGAAGACAAGATCCTGGCTGTCTTCTACACTATCCTCACGCCAATGCTGAATCCCTTCATCTACAGCCTGCGCAACAGGGAAGTCCTAGGAGCCATGGAAAGAGTGTTTGGTGTGTTCTCTTCCAAGAAGAAATGAACCTCAAATCTCTGCTCTGTCTCTGCTGCCTTATCTTTAGTTGCTTAGCTGAACACTGCGGAAAGTGTGGCCTAATAAAATGTGATAGGATGTACCTATGAAACTTAAAAACTTTAGCAACACTTCATAATTTATAATTAACCTAAGTTAATTACTATATAATATGATTATACATATAGTTATCTTGAAACATAGGCAAAACAAATTTTACATTAGAATACATATATTACTAGTTGCAGTGTATATGATTATATCTTCACTACTGTTGATGTAGGATTTGTACTGATATTGGCACAGTGATTTTAACATTGTGGTGTAAAGTTATCACTGTGCTTCTATACTTTGTTTTTATTCTCATATTTCAAAACCTTGTGTACAATAGGAAAGATTGTAACTTACTCAGTGCACGTGTTCTAAAGATTCAATATAATTTTCATCAAAATGCCAAATTTTTGTTCACAGATTAGAAAAAAAAATAAAACTCACATAAGAATACAGATTATGTTGAAGAGCCAAGCATTTAATTACTCTATGGAACCTGTGTAATAAAACAACTGATGTATGTGTAACAATGGATGCATAGATCGATAGACTAGAAGGGAAGACAGGGTAAACCTGCACATGTCCAGATATCTGATTATCAACAAATAAGCTTGAGCTGAAATTACAGAAAACAGTCCTTTTATCATACTGGTAAAGACAGACATGCATCTTCACAACATAGCAACAAGTGGACTTACTTCAACCTGGAAAAAAATCAAAACAAAGTAGATTAAAGTTACCAATTTAAAAGCCAACTCTTTCAAACAGGTGCAGGGAAAAATTTTAAGGTATTTGTATAAGCAATAATTTATTGTAAAGGACTTCAATAGCTCACAAAATAGTAGAAAGAACTGAGCAATGTGAATGCATCATGTTAGATAGCTTCGGCATGGCAAAAGAATTAAGCCAGAGTGAAAGGTCACCTTACGGTAGAGAGCTCTGTCTCCCATTCATCTGACCAAGGGTGAACAACAAGTGCTCTGAAAGAACTCAAAAATCGTAAAAGAATAAGTAATCCAGTTAAAAATTGAAAAATAAGCTAATCAGACACCTCAGAAAGAAGATATGCATTGTCTTTAGTTTTCAGAGAAAGGAACTTATTATTATATTATATTAATATTCACACTGTTCAGATTGGCTGTTATCAAGTGTATTAGACACTTTCTCATTGCTAGGAAAAAATAACTTACAATCACAACTTACAGGAGGAGATATGTATTTTGCCTTGTGATTTCAAAATTTCAGGCCCTGCATGTGGGCTGGTACCAAGACAAAGATGGTGCCTTGGAAGAAACCTGCAAAGTGCATGACAGCCAAGAACCACAGGTAGCAGAGTGAAACTGGGGATGAGAATGTACAGCTCCAGGTGTCATCTCCACCAACCACTCCTCTAAGCAGACCCACCATCCAACACTGCAGTTAGTTATCACATCATTGATTGGTTAAGATGGTGACAAGGGGCTCTACTGTCAACCACTCAAGCTCCGTTAGCCCTACTTGGAACTCAGGGTGTCTTTGGGAGGCTTTTGGAAAGCCACATCATTCCACACACACACAGCTCCCCAAAGTCCGTGCCCATGTCATTAGAAAAAAGCAAGCTGTCTAACTCTAAGTTTGGCCAAATTACAACGTCTCCCTCACTGCTGAATAGTCCATTCAAGATTCTGCTCTGACACACAAAGCAACATCCAAAGGCTACATTTGGTGGGACTTGGTTATTTTCTTAGATGCTTTTGTTCCTGCATTTAATATTTCTGTATTTTAAGCAGTCTTGCACTCTTTACAGTCACAACAATCTGTTTATAAACTATGTAATTTTGACACAAAATTTATCAGTAATTTTCAGTTCAAGTAGCAAAATTGTTAAATCTGTTACGTTTTATTATTATTATTAATGCTATTATTGCTAAGGATTGAGTCCAAGACCTTCACATTCAGCTGCATCTCTAGCCCTTTTTACTTAGTTTATTTTTAAAACCGTGTATTGCTCATTTTCCTAGCCTGTGATGGACTGTGCAATCCCTCTTCCACAGCTTCCTAGAATGATAGGTTGATGGGCAGATAACCCTGGCTTGCCTTTCAGTCTTGATTCTTAATGCAAATCTGACTTGAAGCAGCCAATAATATCCATTCAGCAGCCTGAACATTAGGCTGGCTTCAAGTTTTCTCTATGAAATCATTCACTCTACCATCTTTATTTTCAGCTTGCACAAAGTACTGGGACATGGAGACAACGTAGCCAAGATTTTGCCAAAAATGTAGCATGTTTGGCTTTAGACTCCTCATTCACAACCTGAACACCATTATCCTAACCTTAATCTATGCATTGTTACTAGAATGTTAATCTCATGGGCTCCTGCCTGCATCTCCCATCAATCTCTATTTACACCTTTCTTAGCTCCATAACTAACATCTCTAATCCTTTTAAAACATTTCCCAAAAATGAGCTCCACCGATTTCTCAGTAACAGAAGGTAAAGGATTATGCTGAGCAAGGGAAGAGAGTAATAGGATGGATATGTGATCAGAGAACATGGTTTCCTTGTGTGTAACTGTCACAATAAATTTCATTCTTTCAGTAGATACATGTAAATGTTACAATGAAAATGCAAGGAAAAGTAAGACTACCTGTGTTTCATTAGAACTTATGCATTTCTGATGCTAATGCTATAAAACTTATTTGTCAAGAGTAGAATTTCATCATGTTTCTATTATATGCATTGTTACTATTTATTTTGTATACTCAGATCAAAGAATATTTCGCCTCTATTCCTCCGATAAAATACAACAATTGTCATTGCTTAAATTAAAAAAAAAATCCCCAAAAATCTCACATATTCAGAGGTGACACTTTCCTCAATTGTTTAATGGAGGAATGGGTTGCATCAACAGATTAATCCACTCATGTGTTCGTGGGTGAACGTGCTCTTAAAAGGTAGGACCGCTGGGAGGCGAGTTACTGTGCAATGAGGTAGAAGGGTGTGTTTACTCCCAGCTTCTCCCTTCTCTCTTCCCGATTTCTGGTTACATTGTTAGAGCAGCTATCTTCTGCCATGCCTTTGAAATGTGCCTTTCTGCCATGGATCCCGTCAACCTAGCACCCGTTTCACTGAAACCCTGAGTGAAATGAACTCCCCCTTTAAGATTTGAGTGTTCATTTTGTTTCTCAGTGATGAAAACGTAATTCATAAAACAATGCAGTTGTAAGTATGAGAAATAACTTAGTGACCTATGTCTCTGATTATCCAGTGATTACTGGGATAAACATTGATTGATTCCAATATCCACTTGACACCAGTCCTGCAACAGACAGTACCCAGAACTTTCTTGTACATTCTCTCCTTGGACTCCTACAGCAACCGTCAGGTTGGCTCAGCTTCAAAAATTTGACCACAAAGTAACATTTTCACTAACCTACCAAAGCAGATTCTTACTCATTGCTGAATGTAGTAGGTTAGACACTTCTTTTTAAATCTAACTACTCATTTTATCAAAAAATCTCAACTCTTCACACTATAGAACTAGTGATTAGAATACCATTTTCACGGGTTAACTGAATACGTTTTCAAAAATAGTCCAAGTCATTTTGTCAAAGTAGAGTTAAATTTAGTCTCATTTGCCAACAGATCCCTCCAGAAACTCACCAAGAAGCAGAAAGAAAAAATTCTAATACTGGATTTTCCTTTATTTAGCTGAGTGCTCAGAAGTATTTCCCAAACTCTTTAATGCTTAGGTCCACTACAAAATGTGAGGATTTCAATAAACATCATTTGTCATCTCTTTGGTCCTTTGATCTCTTTCACCAGTATTCCAGAACATTCCTTCTTGGTCTAATTCTGGAAATCTGAATTTGGTATGGATGATTGTGTTGGCTATATGGTGCTTTAAACTCTGAACCGGCTTTTTTTTCCAAATTATTGAAGACCAGTGAGATGAGGTTTGGTCCTCGTGTGGACTTTAGGGATCAATTAGAAGAAAAGAAAAATTGGAATAGTGAAGGGTTGATGAGATAATCTTCAGCATATAAAATACAGAGCCTGAGGGCACCAATTATGGCATGTCTTACTCTGCTTTTGCTTGAATAAGAAAATAGTGGAGAATGAAATTTTAATTAATCAGTGTGCAGCCAGCTATGCCAGAAGAGAGGGCAGTGAAGCTGTTTTCCGATTTGGGCTTAGAGTTATCAGAGGCTCAGTGAGGATCAGTGAGGAATTGTTCCTGGTACTACATGGCTTTTTAAGTGATTTTGCCAGATAAGGGAAGCCTTCTGATGTAGGGATAAGTTTTCACTTCATGGGGTACCTGTTGGCAAGGGACATGGTCCAGCCACACTGCCACTCCATTGGGCAACATTTATAGCATGGAAGGGACAGTCAGCAGAGAATGGTGCCATGACAGAATGGTTTCTCCTCTCAAAGCATAAACTCAGAGAGTTCTCACCAGGTGTCTCTAAATTATGCTAGTGAACAGGGGAGATTTATGCTAGGTGTAGCTACGTGAGATATTTTGGAGAGGCACTTTCACCACGATAGCAGCCTTCTTTGCTCACACTGTACATCCTTCCATAACAAAATGGACACTCTGACTATGTTAACATGTAAAGAGAGACCATTTGAGCCTCCTGGAATCCCTGCAGTGTGCTCCTCCTGAAGGCTGTGTCTGTACATAAGACACCTGATTTCTCAGGGGCTGGAGCTTCCTATTTAAGTTACAGAATAGACAAAGGAATTCCATGCACTACTGAGGACCTCCTAAACGTGGAACACAGAGCCCAGCTAACCCCTGTCTACAGCTCTCCTATTAAGTTGTGGCGACACAAATAGCTGAAACTCAGACAAAATTTTCATATATTCAATGCTTTGGATCTCAGGTATGTAACAATGTGTATGTGTCTAAAATATCCTGTTTCCAATGGAATTACAGTTTTCGGTATAAAAAAGAATAGCTGACATTATTGCC